ATCTTTATAAACAAGTGATATATAGTATATAGAGTGTAACAAAAATATAAAAATAATGGATCATTTATTAAAATGTCTAATATATGAAAAGCAATTATAAGAAGTATAAATGAAAGAATTAAAAAAGGTGTTAAAGAAATTTAAAAATCTTTTTTAATAAAAAAAAAGAAAAAATGAAAGAAAAAGACATATGACTAATTATAAACAATAGAAATAAGAGAAGAAAACTAGGTAAGCTAATTTTCAAAACTTATAGAAGAAGTTTTTAAAAGTGATTATGAGATATCAAGTTTTTGTATAGGACTGATAAGAAGTAACTGGCTTATTACAATGGTTAACTTTAAATGTTGCAATAAAAGAATAGAACAAAAAGTTTATAGGTAAATTATAAAAATATAAAAGAAAGTTTATAATTATATCTGAAAGAAGATCTGAAATAAAAGATATATAGGAGTAATTGAATAGAAACAGTTATAAGAAATTAACAAAAAGAATAAAATAAGAAAACCAGATCTGAAAGTTCAAAAAATCAAAATCAAGGTCAAAAAATCATTGATTCCTGAAAAATAAAGATTGAATTATAAAAACTAAAAGCAAATCTTGATAAAAGGAATTGAATATAAAATGAACTGGTTAGATCTTGATCTCTATTAAGGCTTTGCAAAGTGATTTGCAGTAGTGATTTATAAGCAACAATACTAATAGTTGGAGAAATATATATCTGAACTGTTAATGAAGTGATAAATCATTTCTGAAGTTGCACTTAGAGTGACAATAATCAAGACAAGTAAGTTAGTTGGAGATTTAGCTTTAGTATTATATTAATATATAAAGTCTATAAAATATTTAATAAAGTATATATAACTAGTTTGATAGAAGAAAAAAAATTATTATTAAAAAATTCTTTCTTTATTAAATTTTTATTTTTGAATGATTTTAATAATAATTATTAAAAAAATAAAAATATTTAACAATAATAAAACTTTTAAAATTATATTAAACCTCTTTTTGCTAATTCTTTGACCACACATAAAAAAGATGTTTGCAAGAAGTTTTTATACTTCTTTGCTAATAAAGTTTTAATACTTTCCTTAAAACAACTTGAAGTATAACTTCAAGAGTCACCTCTATTTCTTCCTTTTTGCTTACAAACTTCTTCACTCAAAAACTTGACTTCTAGTAACCAAGAAAAGTCAAGTAACACCTTTGATACCAATGGCAAAAAAGTTTTCAAAGGAAAAAGAATTGATTGCGAAGTACTTGAAGGTCTATCTAATCTTTGAAGTGAGAGGCTATAGAGATTTTCTGTAGTAAAAAGGCTTATTTTCTTTCTTTTTGACTATTTTGACCCTCTTAGAGCTTTCACTTTCATGGTTTTCTGAGGAATTTTGCCTATCTCAGTTTGTTCCTAAATTTTAGGTAGCACAAATCCTCATCAAAGGTGATTGACTGACATGAAACATATTAGTTACTAGAATATAAATAGGCTTCTATTAGTCATATTCATATGTTCTGATAACATCATTGGTAATTGGAAAGAAAGTTCAGAAAATGTTTGCTCTTAAAAACCTCAAGTCCCTTAATGAAGACTTCTATGATATCAAAAGATCAAGTGATAGGTAATGTGGATTGCAAACTCCTGTCTCTTACCTAAGTTTCTCAAGTAATGATAAAGCTTTAATGAAAAAAAGCTGAGGTCTAAATGCTTTTCTTGAGATATTTCAATACAGTACTCACTTAAATAAAAGACCAGTTGGATTGACTCATCCAATGCCATAGGTGATGAAAAAGAAGATTTCTTTTAAGATTCAAGTGAAGCAACAAGATTATCCCAATTAGGCAAATTCTTTTTGAGAAAAGATTGTTTTTATTTTTGGATTTTTTTGGTAAGCCTTGAATTGTCTCCTTTCCTCAATCATTTTTTCCTTTTCTCCCTTTTTAACTTAGTAATTTATTGATTTTTGGACAATCAATAGTGACAAACTGTTGACAATGATCCTGGTAGATAGAGATTATTATCAATCTATTAGGAGAGTGTAATATTGTTCTCAAAATCTGATTTAGAGTACTTTTGTATGAAGACGAGTTAATTACGTTGTGAAAGTCTATAAAATATTATAGATTTACTTCAATTTTTTAATAAAGACAAGCCATCATGGTATAATTGTGGGTTAACAAAAAAAAAAAAAAAAAAAAAAAAAAAACTTAAAATTATGTATAATTTTTTTTTAAAAAAAATATAAGAAATGAAACAAATATCAAGATATAATATATGTAAATTTTATAATTTTTGATTGCATAATTAAAAATTTAAAAATTGGCAAAGTTGAAATTTATAATAAAAACATAGTAAGGAATTTAAACATTTGAAAGTGACCATATATAAATTTATATATATACAGTATATAACTTTCTTTAATCATTTTTTTAACTTCAAATCAACTTTTTGAAATAAAATTTTTAATTAATTATTATTAAAACTTAAATATTTTTTAAATTAGGTTATTCAAAATTTATTTTAATTAAATAATTAATTATTAAATTATAATAAAAAATAAAAGGACAAAAAGGTTTGTCCCAAACTGTAATTGAAATTGCTTTTGTGATTCAAATAAAAAGTATCAGGATATCTAGTTAATCCATAATTCTGAAAGATTTGATTATAATAATATGACATATAGTATAGTATGACACAAAAGAACTGGTACTAGTTCAAATTCGAAATCAACTTAACCACGTTGTTGATGAATAAATTGGTCTTACGATATACTGTATGTATAATAAATAGCTTGTAAAAAGTTACTGTTAACTTTAACTTGAATGGGCAGATGATATAATGATTCGTTACTTTGTATTAATGAAATCGCGTAAAAAAAAAAAGAAAAAAAAAAATAATAATAATAATTATAAAAAAATTCTTTATTTAAATAATTTTACAAAAATCCAATGAAAAATGTCGAAATTCACTAGCAATTAAAAATTTTCAGCATGCAAAATTTATAATAAAGATTTTAAATTCATCTTTTTTAACTTAAAAAAAAAAGAAATAGAATAAAGAAAAACCACAGTATTTGTCCAATAATTTTCCAGACGATCTGTATATGTACAGCATACTGTATACTGCATATATAATTTCGCGTCGAGCGTAACAAGATCCAATCTATTATTGCATACAGTATGACCGGTATACAGCATTTACTGTATATTTATGTATTTTTAGATCACCATGTGCAAATATAGTAACATAATAAAGTTATATACAACAATTTATCGAAGTAAATTACAAGCAGAATAATAAATGAACCGGATTATTGTATCTTAAAATACAGGGCGTATATAAAATTTCAACAGAGTTATAGTATGGTTAGTTGAATACAATCAATTGCGATCAATAAAGGTATAGATTCTTAATAAGGTGTATATATTCGAGATCATTATTCTTGACATATACTGTAATCGCATCGGAACAAGATGCACGCAATTAGCATAATGATTTCAAAAGTAATTAATTGTTCATGCAGCACGTATTGAATCTATTATCCATCAATCAGCTAATCGTTGCAAGAATAATCTATCTATGACACGAAATATATCCCTTGATTGTTGATCTTTGGAGAATTATTTTAAATCATTACACAGTATGTCAAGTATACGAACTTTAGATATGTACTGATCCGTTTGACACGCAATTCTCAGATCCGGTTACAAACGAAAGGGGAATGTGATTCCCGGATTTGAAACTTTATACAACTTTATACAATGATAGTGCCAAGTCCAATTCAGGAGGCTTCATGTCACAAAATCTTCTTGCCCTGAGCGTGACGAGATTGTAAATGAAATGAAATAAACCCCCAGATTGGAGATCAAATGCAACGGTGTGAACCGACGTTTCTAGGTATCTTTGATGATTTGAGTAACAATAGATGCCATCATTAATTATTAATTATCGTGCAAAAAGTTTTATCAGGAAATGAAGCATTTCTTATTAAGCATCGAGCCGGGACCTACTGACACACATCACCTGACTTAAAACTTTTTGCACGTAATTGCGTTAATCAACGTTTCTATTTATAGAGTGCACCCGGACCATTTATGACCAAATTAATTCGGGAATCAAAGGATAGTACCAAAAGGGGTAAGGACAATTTCCTTTTACAGATCCAACAAGGCAATCATTCTTACGAGTGAGGTGACTGAGCTAATTTCTGGCTAAGCAATATCAAGAAGGAAAAATATACCTGAAATCGAAAGAAAGTGATCAAATTTGACGCATTTCTTTATTTATTTTTCCACGTAAAAATTATTAGTTCACTATTAGTTAGCATATATAAACGCCAGTTTTTTTCTCTACAATAACGGTTCACGTTCGAAAAATTACATTTACCCTCGCTCATCATTAGGCATATACTGTAACTTTGTCTCCGAAACAGTCGTGACCATCCATCCTAAATTTTTCACGTCAATAATGATGAGACGTTTCTTGTCGCATGCAAAGCGCTAAAACAAAAAGAAAGAAGGAAGGAAAAGAGGAGGAAAAATGTCAAAGAAAAATTCTTGGGTTCTTTTTTTTTTCGCGTGATATAATGCTGCGCACGCAGCACGATTAACCACGCGGATTCTATTCCTCGGCACAATTGACATGCGTGAGTTAAAATAGATTGAAAATCAATCATGTTAAGTGTTTACCGATTCCCAATTTCAAAATGCATGTCACAGATGAGATAGTCGTCCTCTAGCACACTTCTTTCAATCATGCAGAGAATGCTGAAATGAAACTTCACGGATATCTCGTGTTCAAATTCAATCTATTTAATTAATGGTTAGTCATTCAGAATGTGATGTCATTTATTTTCGTCACAGATCACATGTTTGTTGTGCTGCGACGTTGTAAATTCATGTAATTAAATTGTTTATTGATCGTCTTTTTTATAAATAGGGATTCGTGACTTTTTCACACTGTTGGAAATCTCTTTAAAACGTTTCCGGTTAATATTCAGATAATGAATAAAAATCACACACGAATCAATGATGCCCTCGTCAACAATAATAGTGGCGAGTCATATCGTGATAATATCAATCTTTCTGGTTCTTCTTCTAAAGAACCTTCCGTCAACATAAAACTTCCATTCCCTCCCACTGTTGATTTATTTCATTTAGTCAGCAAGAAGTCACCGGATGGAAGAATTCCTGTGAGATCTCCAAACGCCTTTATAATTTACCGGAAAGTATATGTGGAAGCCGCCAGGAAAAGTGGTTATTTTCTTCCAATGACCAATATTTCCTCAATGGCATCCCAATCATGGGCTGACGAGAGGGAAGAGGTGAGAGCCGCGTATCAACAAATCGCAAAGGATGCGTTAAAAGTTCGTAACGAGATATACCCAAAATCTAGTAAACGAAAGCGCAAAGATAGGTGGAATATCGTGAGCTTTGAAGATCCACCCCCGATCAGAAAAGACGTTAAGGAACGAAAGAAGTCTAAAAGGAAGGTTCAGCGTAAAACCAAAACCTCATCACAAAATCCTTCAAACGCTACTCTGTCTGATGAATTGCCATCCCTTGACAAAACCTCTGATCCCACGCTTCACAAAACGCCAGCCACTGCCAACTCAGATTCCATCGTTAATGATATCACATTTTTAAATAAACAAAATCAAAATCTTGATACAATCAATACATCTGAAAATCGTTCTAACACAAATAATGACAATGATGATGATTATGATGAGACCCCTATTTCAACTTTTGCGCTGAACGAAATGCAATTAAACCCACTTAACTCTTTAAATAACGATTTGAATTTTGAATATGGCAGTGGAGATCAAACAGACGCGATATTTAATTCTAATATAAATAGTAATACCGACGACGTTCTGCAAATACCGACGAGTGTGCAGAACGCACTGACACACGTAAACTCTGCAATATACTCGATGCTAATGACATTCTACATGTCTCCTACGAACATTTCGAACGCAAATAATACAAACCCTGCCCAAAACTACACTGCCTACAGCAACACGATTTTATCGGATAATAATAATGAAATAACTTCCCTGAATTCTTCGGACGACTCATTCTCGGAAGACATAATTCATTATTACGCCCCACCCGTTTCCGTTCAAAACATTAACCTCACACAGTTGAACCCCGATGAATATTCCTTAGATAAAGATCAAAGTAACTGATTATCGATAAATCCTAACTTCGAAAAAAATTTTTTTTTTCTCATTTCACCTTGACCGTACGCCCAATAACCATAAAAAAAAAAATATTATTTTTTTTTTTCTTAATGAATATAAGTATAAAATACATATGTTTTAAAAAATAAACACTACTGTTAAGATGTTATGATATGCGTATCCTTGGAAAACATGTTTTTAGAAGAATCAATGTCCAAATTTTTTTTATCTTCATTTTTTTTTTTTTTTCCATCATTATCATTATATTACTAAACATGCTTCTATAGCACCTGCGAAACGTTTTTAAGTTTTCAGTCACCTGTTACTTTTAGTTGAGATCCCTATATTGCAAGCTATTTCAAACTTCATTGTGAACGCTCACAGGGTTACTGCAGTATGTTGCAATGGCGATCGAACAATAAGCATCGTCGCACGACAACTCGGCACACGCACACGTAATGATGAATTAAAATCTCATCAACCCATTGCGACCTTTGTGAATTAGGAAAACCCTTATGATATGACGTAATTGTTTATGTTGAATAATTTCTTTCTCAGACACGAGCATATTCACCATTCCACAAATATGTAGTATTCGAATTCTTTTTAAGAAGTACAAAAGAACCTTTGGTCGATTAATACGAGGTTTGAATAAAATAAGATAAAAAAAGGAAAAAATTCAATGATTGCACAATTCGCTGTTGTTGATTCGTTTTCACCCGTGTAATAATGCCAGGTAGTAATACCGCTGACCCAGTTCCAACATTGTATGTAAATGTTTTATCAGTGCATTCTTTACGAAAACAAAAAATAAATACGTTGACAACTACTCTTGCTAACGCGTAAAGTATTAGGCCACTAACGCGGAGCGATCAACCGAGTGACGTTATTGGTATCGCAATTACGTTCGTACGCACACTCTTCCAAACAAAAGTTAACATTGTTCAGCAGCCGGGTCTGTGATTATGTAATCGATATAGTGCAACTAATAAAATTTTTTATTTATTATGTTTAACTTATTATATTAGTGTAACAGGATTCCCATGATGAGTTAGTTAAAATATTAAATTTTGTGTTTACGTACTGCATATTCTGTTTCGAATTTTTCTATTAAAATTAGATATATTGCATACACAGTATGGGCAGTTGTCCAATTACCCTTAATTAGTTATTAAATGATTTCTTCAAAATTTATTGAAATATAAAAATTAGAAAAAAAATAAATAAAAATATATAATATTTTTGATATTTAAATTTAACTATTTCAAAGATGATCTTTTTTTTTTTAATCTACAATTATACAATAATGATATGTCTTTATTAAAAATATTAAATATTAAAATCAATATTATCATAATAAATTAAATTATATAAAAAATAAAATAAAAGACCTGAATATATAATCAAAAAAAAAATTTTTATCTTATTTTTTAATCAATTTTTTTTTAAAAAAATTCTAATTGAAATAAATATATTTTTGTGTTTAATTATTTATATTATATAATGTAAAACATTTGCTTTTAAAAATTCTTACCAATATAAACAAAAAATTTTTTTCAAAATATATTTTTTGAAATTAAAATTTATAAAAAATAATAAAATATTTTTATAGTATTTAAATAATTATTTTATAATTTTAATTTATAAAATTAATTTAATAAAATATTTTAAATTTTCAAAAACTCAGTTTAAATATAATATTTTTAAAATTTCATTCTTCTTTAATATATTTAATTAAAAATTTTTATAAATAAATTTACTATATATACTATATATTTTTATTTATTCATCAATTTTTTATTAAAAAGTTTTTTAATGATTTTAATTATTTAAATATTATGATTCTTTCAAAATCCATTATTTATAAAAAATTTTTTTTTAAATTTAAAGTTTTTTTATAAATTTATTTACTAGTTATAAAAAAATACATATTATAAAAATTTTTTAAAATAAGTTATAATTAAATATATTATATTTAATTTTTTAAAAACTTTTTTATTTTTATATTAAAGATATTACTTGATTTTTTTTTATTATAAAAATTAAATTTTCAAATAAATAAATTACAATTAAAACTTTTAAGTATTTTATTAAATTGTTTTAAAAATAATATTATAAAAACATTCTTTTAAATAAATATTTAATTGCAGTGTATATAGTTGCTTTCAAAAGTTTGAATTTGCTTACTATATTTTTATTATAAATTTTAACTTTTACAATTTTTAAATTCTTAATAATACAACTAAAAATTATAAACTTCATATATACTATATCTTAATACTAGTTTTATTTATTATATTTTTTTCAAAACAAACTCTTTTCACTGATCCTCTAACTATATACGAAAAAGATGTTTGCAAGAAGTTTTTTTATTTTTTTGCTAATAAAGTCTTAATGTTTTTATTAAAACAACTTGGAGTAGGACTCAAAAGTTACTTCTACACTTTTTCTCTTGTTTATAAATCTTTTTACTCAAAAACAGAACTTTTAGTAACTAAGAAAAGTCAAGTAATACCTTTGATATCAATAATAAGAAAGTTTTCAAAGGAAAATGAATTGACTATGAAATATTTGAAGACCTTTTTAACCTTTGAAGCAAGAGGTGTATAGAGATTTTTTGTAGTAAAAAGGCTTATTTCTCTTTTTTTGACTGTTTGTGCCCTCTTAAAGCTTCCACTTTATGGTTTTCTAGATAATTTTATCTACCTCAGTTTGACTTTAAATTTTAAATAGTACAAATTCTCACCAAAGGTAATTGGTTGATATAAAACATGTTAGTTTTTGAAATATAAACAAGCTCTTATTGGTTATAATCATATGTTCTGATGATATTATTGATAATTAGAAAGAATGTTTTAGAAATGTTTATCCTCCAAAAACTCAAGTCCTTTAAGAAAGACGCCCATAATACCAAAAAACTAAGAGATAGATAATATGGCTTGCAAGTTCCCATCTCTTCCCTAAGTTCCTTAGGTGATGACAAAACTTTAATAAACAAAAGCTGAGGTCTAAATACTTTTCTTGAGATATCCCAATCCGGTGTTTACTTAAATAAAAAACTAGTTGGATTGACTTGTCCGATGTCACAAGTAGTGACAAAGAAGATTTTTTTCTGAGGCTCAAGAGAAGTAAGAAGACTATTTCAATTAGGCAGATTCCTTTTGAGAAAAGAATTGCTTTCTTTTTGAACTTTTTTGATAAGACCTCGAATTAATCCCCTTTTCCAATTTCTTTTTTTTTCTCTTTTTCCTTAATTTAGCAATTTATAGTTTATGGACAATTTACAGTGACAAATTGTTGACAATGAACCTATTAGATGGAGGTTATATATCAATTCTCTAGAAGAGTGAAGCATTGTCCCCTGGACCTAACTTAGAGTACTTAGGTATAATAATGAGTTAGTCATTATGTGAAAAATCTGTAATATTGTAGATAGTTATACAACTTCTCAATAAAGATCAAGCCATATGATATGGTTGTAAGTTAAAAAAAAATATATATATATATAATAATTAATTTATTATTGTATTAAAATATTATACACAAAAAAAAACTCTTTCCGCAAATTCCTCAGATCCTTAGAAATTTCCTTTTTAAGAAATACACCCAAGGAAAGAGACAATATACACAACTAAAGATATATACTCTCACAACACCAACATACAAGAGACATCTTAGCACAGAACAACACTTCGTGCATAGTTTTAGTCTGGTGA